CCAGGGGTTTTCCCTTTAGAATGTTGGAGGGCATGTTCCAGCTCTATATAGCTGAATTCCTTTTCTAAGTATGGTGCATCAGTTGCCACTTTGGATGGGTTGTAAGACTGGGAGAGTATTGTGCTTTTTCTATTGATGTACGCTGTATGGAAGTTGGAGTCATGAGCGTAATTCGACCAGGTTTCGCCGAAAATGTTGGCTATTTCTAAGGGTGAGGAAAATAGCTGATTGGAAAGCTGGATAACTTTAATGGGAGTAGGAGGGATTCCGGTAAGGGCTTTGATTTTCGACCAGATTTTTTTGGGTGAGTAAGAGGGGTTGATGTCTTCAGTAAATTTTCCGATAGATTCTGCTTTCGCTGCCTTGACACTTTTTTTAAAAATTGCATTGGCCTTTTTGTAGGCAATTAAATTGGGGACTGAGGGAGATGATTTGTAAATATGCCACAGCTTTTGTTTTTCTGCTCTTAGGGTACTAAGATTTTTATTCCACCATGCCGCGTAGATTTTTAAAGGAGTTGTTTTGCTTTGTGGAATGGCCACATTGGCCGCGGACCTGATTGCTTTTGTGATGTTGGCCGCAAGTTGATGAACATTGGAGGTGTTCCAGTTTTTAAAGTTTTTTTCACAAGTGGTTTGATACATATCCCAGTTGGCAGCGTCGGTATTAAAATTCGGGGACTTGGTGAGATGACAAGGATTTAGCTTGGTTTGAATGACCGAAAGTAAGGGAAAATGATCACTACCGTACAGACTACTTAGCGTTCTCCAGCTACATTTGGGGCTTAACTGTGCAGATGCCAGCGTTAAATCAATGTTTATGAATGTGTTGTGGGTTGAAAAATGAGTGGGAGAGCCGTCATTCAAAATAATTAGTTTTCAGCGAAAATTACATTTTCAACTATGGTACCTCGTTTGTTGGACTTTTCAGAGCCCCACAGAGGGCTCCAAGCATTAAAATCTCCTAGTAGGAAGGGTGGACTTACTGAACGGGAGAGTAGAGAGCAGATATCTGCCTCACAGAAAGTTTGGGATGGTGGGATGTATTTACGTGTTAATGATAGTAATTTGAAATGTAAGCTTTATTTCAATGGATATTGATTGGATGGTCGATGATAGAAATACTATTCGGTGGGGAATGTTACGTTTGATAAAGATTGCGACGCCCTGTTTGGCGTTTTTGTTATTAACACAGTTGTGAAAATACCCCACATAGGCTTTTGGGATAATAATATTCTTAGTATTATACGGGATATGAGTTTCCTGAAGGCATATTACATTAGGATGGGTATCTCTGATTAGTAAATCAAGTTCATTGTAGTTATTGAGATAGCCTTTGATGTTCCACTGAATGATTGTGAAGGCCATGTTGTATGTTTGTTTAAATATAAACCGGGTTTTATGAAATAGGTGCAAGTTAAGAATAAATGTAAATGTAGATGTAGATGTAAACGAGAATATAAATGTAAATGTAAGTATAGGTATATATAAAGGTTAGATAATCTGTGTATAAATATATATATATATATAAATATAATTACGTATGTAGGTGCAAAATTAATGTTAGAGAGCGTTGAATGTTATTGTTAGTGTGTGTTGTATGTATATAAACAGATGATTTAGATTTGAGTGGTTTTGTTGGGGGCTGTTTTGGATTTGATGTATTCTTTTAATGCTGTTGTTGTTGCAGATGATAAGACGTTATTGTTGATGGGATGTGGTGAGTGCGTTTTGTAGTTTTCGTCTTTTGCTCGCTGGTGAGTTATTTCGAATTCCATTGTGTCTGGTGTTTGTTTACTCGAATTTGTTTCAGTAGTGTTATTGAAAGTATTGTGATTTGAGGAGGAAGGGAATAGTTGTCGTGGTTCATTGGATATGTTATTGCTACTGCTGTAGAGAGGTCTTGTAGGTCAGATGATTGCGGCTCATTGCTAGTTGACTGGATGCTGTGAGTTTTATTTGCTTTAAGACTTTCTTCTCGACGAAACCGGTTTTAGGGGATTCGCTGAGAAGAGTAGTGTTGTTGGTAGATTGTTTTGGCTTTGGTGCAGATATGTTGTTTGTATGTGCAGAGTTTGTTTCAATTTCATTGTTAGGTTTTAGGGCTGAGACGAAGGTTTGGGAGTTTGGTAAGATGGGATTCCGGGATTTGTATATTTTGTTTGCTTCTTTCATTGTACATTTTGTTTCAGTCTTTATTTTTAGTACTTCTTTTGCTTGCAAATATTTTGGGAATATATTTGATGAAGCAGCATGTTCACCTGCACAGTTAGCGCAAAATGACCTGATGCATGGGTCGGGGATGTGGGGTGGTAGGTTGCATGTAGAGCAGGCTGGAAGATTTTTACAGAATTTTTGCATATGCCCTAATTTTTGGCACATCTTGCATCGCATGGGATTCGGGTAAAACGGGCGCACTTGCGTAGTTATCCAAGCTATATCAATTTTCTCTGGAAGAAAATAGCTGTCGAATGAGATTAGGACAACTCCTGTGGGTTTAGAAACTCCGTTTGTAGTACGTTGAAATTTGTAGATATTCGTAACATTGTAGTTTTTGAGTTCTTCGATGATCTCCCTTTCAGGGACGTTGTTCAAAAATGGAGCATAAACCGTGCCTTTAACGCTGTTTAGGTTGTCGTGATATTTGGTCGTGATTTCGCAAAGGCCAGGGAGAGATCGAGCGTCAATGAACTTTTTGGCTGATTGTCGGTTTTTGACGAGAAGTATCAGACCACCATCTGACTGCAGGCTTATTGAATTGATATCCTTACATAAGGCGAGTAATGATTTGTGAATTGCAAATATCGAGTAGTTGGAAAAAGATTTGTTTTCATCAGCTGGTTTTATAACTATAAATTTAGGATCATCCTTTTTAGTCACGGGGAGTTCGGGGAATTCTTCGCACAAATTTGATGTCTTTTTCCGTTTAGAACGGGGGCTGGGTGATAATAGAGCATATCTATTATCCCCAAAATTGAAAGCCCCTGGGGCCATTGTCAATTAGATCACACACAAGAGCTAAGTAACTTGTCTTAATTGTCACAAAGTAATAAATAATAATCGCGTGTACACTGCACACGAACGAATAGGGCGAAAAAGAAATTGCAATCAACAAGCGTAGCACAACCGTATCGCAAGAGGGCTAGTCGGAGACTGACAAGCAAATTTTTTTCCGGCTTTTGCAAATTGAATAAGTTCTCTGTACGATGGTTGTTAAAAAAATACGTGAACATAAATATATGGTATATGGGCTGTGGAAAAAGGGATATTTCCAGCAGTAAACGTTTTAGTGTGGGCAACAATGATATATTTTAAATAAGTCAGATCGGAATATGCGCTCTCTGGGAAGAGAATACCTGTAATTATTGCACCATGGTTTCAAATCCATTTATTTATTATTTATTTCATAGTAGGAGAGCTTCTCAAACAATATATAAGCAATTTTTTCGATTCAAGTTGTTAAAAAGTAATGAATATCTACTCCCGGGACTAATCCCGGGATTGTGACAACGCCATGCCGAAAATCCCGGGATCGTACGTCAAAGAGAACATAGTCGTTTTAACAATATTTTTTGTTTTCTCTTCTTTAAATACCTGCATTGGTTTCTCTGTGTATTATGATTCTTTTGGACCAATCTTAAAATAAACTACTAGACACAAAATAAGAAAGTGTGCACTGTAATTCTTAACTTAAATTTTCATGATTTGCCTTTGAAGTTATATATTCCTTTCAATAATTTCAAATGGGGCTCTTTGGGGAATTTATTTTTAGCAAAAATTTAAAGAACAGTAATTTTGTTTACTCGTCGGGCAACCTTTTATTCGTAGGGATATACATTGGATCCTTGGCTAAAATTTTATGTGGTAAAACTGTCCCTTCTTTGCTATTTAAAGTCAAAGAGTAAGCTCCTTCAATAGGGATTTCCAGCAGAAATGATCAACGTCTGACTATAAAGAGAACCGATGCTCAAATAATTAAAAAACTATAGGTCTGACCTTTGATAAGATAAGAATTAGGTAACGGGCTGCTTTTTTAAAAAATAACTGTATTCTGATCCGATTCGGCTGACAGCCACTACTTTGAAAACAGAATTTTGTTCAAAATTTTCATTGCTGGAAAGTAATAATTTATTTTCCATATCCACCTATTTAGCTCGCTATAATGACAAATTGTTCAAACCAGTCGCAGAAGAAAGCATTAAAAATGACTTACAAAAACTAAAATGGAAAAACGCTGATGAAGTTACCCTGCACGAAATGTATCTAACTATAAGCTAACTTCAAGTTGATTAGGAAGAAGCAACAACTCACTTATTATCTGTATTTTTTTTTCGACGAAAGCTAACTATACTTGTATGGCAATGGCCGCGAAATAGTCAAGGGTGGTTTACCTCTGCATTAGATGTAGTCAAGGGTGGTTACCTCTGCATTTGGTGTAACTAACTTGTAACTAACTATTTTTGGACATAAAATATCAATAGGAAAAACAAAATATATTTTTTATTTTTTTATTTTTATTTATTTTATTACATTTCATATTTGTTACCATATTCTACTGTAGGTGGTTCCATATTCGAACTTCGTCAGACATAACTTCCAAATGATAATATGAAATTTCGATCTTCCTTTTATTTGTCCTCAATTCGAAAAAGTATTTGCGAAGTGCATGATATTTAAATAGAAACGCGTTTAAAGAAAACAATCTCGAGCTTTACTCCTGCAGTACTTGTCCACTTGTTTCAAGTTAACTTTTTGTAGCTAACTACAGGTTATATATTTTATAGAAATCCCGCAAAAAAGCTAACTACAAGTAGGTTATTTTTTATCAATTGATAATTTTTTTCTACAGGGTACAGATTCGCGGCTCAATATGGCTAAATTCAAAATGGCGGATAATTTTTTAAAACGTATAAACACACCACATACATATTACCTAGTTTCAACAATTTTAGTTAGTTTTATTTAAAAATACTAATAAAGTACACATATTTTTAATTTCAGTCATTTGAAACAGTGGCCACGGCCATATATTCGGTTTTGGTTATGTTAGCTATGCATCCGGATGTACAGGAAAATCTTTTTCGTGAAACCTATGCGCTATTTCCTCAAAAGAACATTGAAGTTACATATGATCACCTGAAACAGGCGCCTTACCTGGACATGGTAGTGGCCGAAACATTACGCCTTATGCCGTCCATACCAATTATCGGACGGCAAGCAATACGCAAAGCCAGATTAACGTCGGAGATAGATTTATCACCGAATATGCAAGTGATAGTGCCTATTTTTAGCTTGCATCGCTCTAAAACCTGGTGGGGGGCAACAGGCTCATCTTTTCAATCCTAATAACTTCACGCCTGAAAATATTGCTAAACGGAATCCGTATGTATACATGCCGTTCTCGAAGGGCGCAAGAAATTGTATAGGTAAGTGTTGAAACCCCTCTAAATAAATTGTAGTTGTATTTCGACTGCTGAGTGGAAGAGCGCCCTATCTTAGCAGCCAGTTCGAAAACTCCCTATCTCAGACAACTTTTCAAGAACGCCCTATTTCAGAATTCGGTTTAAAAATGCCCTATCTCAGCTGCCGATTCAAACATATTTTCAAAATATTTTCAATTGAGGAAGGGTGTTTTTCAATAAAACTCTAAAATAGGGAGTTCTTCAAACAAATTCTGAAGTAGGGCGTTCTTCCGGTCAGCTGTCGATTTGTAAATATTAGTTTAAATTTGTTATGTATTTTTTGATAACGAGTTTGCTGGTAGAAGGTCATAATGGAAAAAATGAGTGCGTGTAGTTGAGGTAACCACCTTTTCAGATACTCAGAAACGAGATTGAAAAATAGAATTACAACCTCATTGAAATGGCTATATGTGCAATGCTTATGTTGGAATTTTTCGTAAAGCCGTCCATTCATGTGTATGGGCAAATTTTTAAATTTAAATTCTTGTGAAAGTTTTACGTCACTCGCAATGTGTGTGGCGTTTTTGGCGAGCATTTGCGCATTTCGTATTTAATTTATCGTCGCATTTTACTTTGCACTGTAATTTTTTTACTTTTTAAAAGGAAAAATTGAAATTTGGCAAAAAAAAAGTGAAAAATATAAGGAGGTACAGATGTGAAAATCAAAAAGCATACGTGAGAAATTTTCTCAATCTCGTGGACTTGTCATTTCAATATTTTTTAATGTGTTCTCACTGATAGTCCTCTGCAATAACGACACAACTCAAAATTGTATAGTTTTCAGTGTGTTTTGTGTTTAGTAATTTAGCAATAATATGTCTTGGAAGGTAATTATTCCGGATTAGTTGCAGTCATTCTTCAGGGAAAGCTTTCAAATTATCAGATTTTACTAAAGATTTAGAAGATTGGACTGAAAAAATACGATATAAGTAACAACTCCCCAGTAGTTAAACGAAAATAACTCCACCGGTATTAGCGAACAACGTCATGATATCGATATTTCCTATAAGAAATGACTAAGTAACAGGGATGGAATTTAAAAATTTCAAAATGTGCCTAATGGCCTTCAAATGGCCGAAAAAAAGTTTAAAGTGCCACAAAATTAAAATATCTTTCTTTTAAGGTCTTTAAAAAACAATATATTTTTAAAAATAGTATTTTTCAAATACACTGAGGTAATATAATAATTATTAATTAACCAAACTATTACAGCAAATCACTTTGATGAAGGATTCCTTAGACATATGTATCAGGGAACTGCAATTATTCATGATTTTAAGTAATTGGTTGAATAACACAAGAAATTGTGTTAGTGGATATTATTCATTGAAAAATATTCACACATATGCACTAACACTATTTTACGTACGGGACACAAAGCGAGAGTATGTACAATGACTAAGTTCTCTGTTGACATGAATTGATGTAGTGCTCAGTTCTCTCATTGAGCCATTAAACAAATTTATTATACCGAAATGAGTCGCAGCACTAAGAAGCACTAATAGTTCAGTCGAATGATTTTAGTGAATTTATTGGTTTTCGTCGTTTATAGCAACAAAACATGTACGACGAGAAAGCGACAGCATGCGAAGGCACACTCTCACTTTTAGCTCACACTTGTTTATGGTGGCGCCCGCATGTCGCACAGTGTTGGGAAATGAAATTGTTCCTTCAGTACGAAATCTATCCAAAAACTGTACTGTTCGACAGTAAACTGCATCGATTTTAATTTGCTCATATATTTTCATAGTACATGCATACATAGATTCCCTTCAAGATTTGATGGTATTCATGGGAAAGTTTATGTAGGTACATTTTACACTTTGAACATAAATGTGTTAGACCAAGAGCTCATGACCAAAAAACTCATCATACTTCAGATCGATTGAAATTTTTTGTGAGCTTAGCTTGTTAATATATATGTAAATCGAGATCCGGGGGCTGGCTGCTGAACAGCGGTCTTGATTATGCGTTTTCAGTGACTAAAGATGTCAATAAAAACCGTTACTCAACATACTTCAGATGACTTGACATTTAGAAAGAATGTATAGAAAATGAATTCAAGGTTGCCAGCCAATTCTGATGGTCGTAGAGTACTGCCAGCCCATGTTGAAGGTGCATTGCTGCAACCATAACTCAACATACTTCTGATGGGCTGTCCTTATCACAGGACATTATTAATATTATAAATAGATGAAATGTCTACAGCCAGCCCCCTCTGATGGTCTTAAAGTACTGCCAGCCCATGTTGAAACTGCATTGTTGCACCTATAAGTCATCATACTTCAGATGACTTGAAATTTTGATAGAATTTTATTTACAGTGCATATAAAATGAATTCAAGGTTGCCTGCCAATTCTGATGGTCTTAAAGTACAAACAGCCCATGTTCAAAGTGCATTGTTGCATCTATAAGTCAACATACTTCAGATGGGCTGTCCTTTTCACAGGACATTATTAATATTATAAATAGATGAAATGTCTACACCCAGCCCAATCTGATGTTCTTAAAGTATTGCCAGCCCATGTTGAAAGTGCATTGTTGCACCTTTAAGTCAACATACTTCAGATGGGCTGTCCTTTTCACAGGACATTGTTAATATTATAAATAGATGAAATATCTACAGCCAGCCCCTTCTGATGGTCACATCATATGAAAATTGTAAAAAAACGTAACGTAACGTGCGGGCGCGTCGCACAGTGTAAGATTTTACCCATCTAGCTGCTTTTATTTCTGTAACTAGAAAACTATTGAAGATAGATTAATGAAATTTTGCACAAGGTACGTTACAAGATAGGCGAAGCTTTTTACAAAAAAATTGGTAATTTATAGTTACTGTCACGCCACCCTATTATATAACTGCAATTTTTAAAAATGCAAAAACTGAAATATTTAACTAACTACAAAGGCTAAAATGCCTATAATTGATATTTAGAATTTCCCTATAACAAGGAATTATAAGCTGACAGAAATGGACTTAAAAATAAGTATATATTTTTTTAATTATAGGCGTGGAAAATATCGATAAAAAAGTCAAGTTGGGTCAACAAAATTCCGTTATAAGTTCAATATTTCTTGCTCTATTTACAAAAATGGGATACCATTGGAACGGTAATGAATCAGGCTTTCTCTTTTAAAGCAAAAATACAAGAATTTGTCTCGGTCGAGATAAAATGCAAATGAATTACTCGAAGAAAATTAAATTCCCAGTAGGAAAAAAAACAAAATTTCATCAAAACCTGCACTTTCCAGCAGCTGAAATTGTATTGTTTAAAGTCTAAGAGGAGTGGCAAATAAACTGAGATACAAATTTTATCGAATAGTGGCGGATAACGAGTTTTCGGGTCTAATAAAAATAATATTTTGCTAAAAATAAATTTAACTCAACATCGTTTTACTTTAACATGAAATACTGAGTCCTAGTTTACTAAAATCCCAAAAATGTATATTCATTAAAAATATCATACTTAAAAAAATAAGACCAAAATGATATTTTAGCAATTGTTGCATAAATCACATAACACTGACAAATTAAATATTGAGATTCAGTTTCAAATATGCAAGCTTAAATATTATTGCGCTCGGTAATTTTCCAAATAAACCCCGTCCCGCCATACAGTTTGATTTAAATTTTTTAGTTGTTATTGTTTCGTCTTTATCAGGCATTTTTAAAAACATTCTTGGCGTTGTTTTGAAATTTGGCGACATAAAATAATGTAACTAATCTTTCCTAGAATATGGAAATGATACACTGTGCGTCGGGGAAAACGTATTTCGTTCATTTGCTGTCTTAACATAGTGTTGCTGAAATGAAAATAATAAAATGGGGCTTCTGCATATTTAAAAATTTAAATATATAATTACACTTGGTCGCGAAAATATGTTTGCTCCTAGGTTGAAAGCTTATTTCGAGAGGATTTTACGCTCATAAAAACTTTCGTCCCTGGCGAGTCCAAAAAATGGCCAAAATCAATTTTCTTCGTAACTCTTGTATTTATTACTAAATTCCAATGGTATCACACATTCCAGATCCTAGAATGACACATTAGCCTCCCAAGTTCAAATAACTCAATTTATACCCAATTAAATACAACTTTACTCTTTTTTAATTTAACCATTAAAATAAATAACCATAAAAATAAATAACGACACCGTTATATTTTAAATGAAACCGCTTGCGAATATCCAACACTTCCCGGCACTTTTGTGAAGTATTTACAGTAAAAGAAACCACTTTATTGTCTCTTCTTTTATCATTACAAAAAACACATTCTATTGAAGATTCCATTTTTATAAATTAGCCAGAAAATCTGTAAAAAATTTAAAAATTCTGACAGAAAGGGACTGATTAATCATGACTCATGTGACCATCTATCCCATTTAAGGATAAGGAGAGCCCATCTGAAGTATGTTGACTTATGGTTGCAACAATGCACTTTCAATATAGGCTGGCAATACTTTAAGACCATCAGATTGGACTGGCTGTAGACATTTTATCTATTTATAATATTAATAATGTCCTGTGATAAGGACAGCCCATCTGAAGTATGTTGACTTATAGGTGCAACAATGCACTTTCAACATGGGATGGCAGCACGATTGAGAGAATACAAAGGTTGCGCCGATCTCGGACCGCTATTCCTCTCTTAACGAATTTGACAGAATCGTTGTTTGCATGACGTCGCACTGGTGCAACTTGTTTACCTTTTCCTTGCAACATTTTTTCTTCTTCTTCCATTCTTGCTCACGTTTTGGCATTTCTCTCTCGCAATTGCACCAGTGTGACGTCACACAAAAGTTATTCTCAAAAATCCTCTCTGATCGGCGCAATCTTGTATTCTATCATTCTTGGGATGGCAGTACTCTACGACCATCAGAATTGGCAGGCAACGTTGAATTCATTTTATATACACTGTGTATAAACTTCTATCTAAATTTCAAGTCGTCTGAAGTATGTTGAGTAATCGGTTTTCACAGACATCTTTAATCG